AATGAGCTTAGACCTCAGCTCAAAATCATCTTGAATTGCTTTACTAAACAGCTAAGAAAAACATTTCCCAAGTTTGAGTTCGAAATTCTGAATTATTAAGGAGCTGCTAGGCTCTTTTTATAGCTCTATTTACCAATAACTTCAAAGTTTGCATCTTAGGAATATAATTAACTTCTATGCAAAGAATATCTACAAAGTATTTAAGAGACGCTTAAGTTAGATCATATGAACATCTACAGAGTCTTTAAGAACATCTACAGAAGCTTATGTTACACATATAATCAGAAGTAGAAAAGGTTACAATACTTTACGAAATGAATGATTTAAATTGGCCATCTTGTACTTAACATGAGAATTTAAGATAAAAGTATCATCCAATCCACTTTCTCTTTTACTTATCTATTCTTATAACTAGCTTCATCCACAGTGTTTGATGTCCTAGTGCATATCACGTGAGCATATATGTAAGCATATATGTCTTAGTGCATCTCATTGTTAACATAGATAGACTTGGCTAGTGTTGAGAACTCAAACCAGTGGCTAGTGTTGAGAACAATACTGAATTTTTGGAACTTCACCACAACACACAAACCAGTGGCTAGTGTTGAGAACTAAATTGACAATTGACAATTGAACAATATTGATGATCTTATAACTCAAACTAGTGGCTAGTGTTGAGAACTAAATTGACTAGTGTTGAGAACTCAAACCAATGGCTAGTGTTGAGAACAATATTGAATTTTTGAAACTTCACCACAACAAACAAACCAGTGGCTAGTGTTGAGAACTAAATTGACAATTGACAATTGAACAATATTGATGATCTTATAACTCAAACCAGTGGCTAGTGTTGAGAACAATATTGAATTTTTGAAACTTCACCACAACACACAAACCATGGCTAGTGTTGAGAACTAAATTGATAATTGACAATTGAACAATATTGATGATCTTAGAACTTCACCACAACACACAAATGAATGGCTAGTGTCGAGCTTGTGGAAAGACAATTTTTATCGCATTTTTCATAGTTCTGCACTGATAAGTTATGATAGCTTTTGGAGGATGATTTGACATGCAACTTAACCACGACTTGAATAGCCAAACAAATGTGTTTGTGTCTTCACTAGATAACAATCCACAACCAAGCAAAATGGACTATCCATGGTGATTAACTCCGACAAATGGAGCAAATGGCATGTCATATTTGTTTGTCAGAAAAGTTGTGTCAAATGAAACGACATCTCCAAATGCTTCATAAGGACTCCTTGCATCAGCCCAAAACAAGTTTCTAATGCGAAACTCCTTATCAACATCAATCATATAAAAGAATCTCTCACTATGTGCTTGCATCCTCATAAAATAACTTTGAAGTGATTCGGCATCACCTTTCCCAAGCCTCAATCTTCTAGCTCTCTCAATGTAATTCCTTGCATCTCGCTCATCAAATGTCAATGACTTGTATCCCCCTGCTTCAACAACCATTGAATGAAAGTTCTTAGACACCCCTGCTTGATCATTAATTTCTAATCTTCTCTTCACAGGAGTAAGAATTTTCTTATTCATTGCAAAATGACGTAAGTCAGTGGGAATCAAATCATGATTATGCTCAAGGTTAACTGTGGTTAGTTTATATCTCCCATCATTTTGTACACTACCTTGTACCATTGCTTTGCAACTAATTTTTGTGGACAAAGATGGCTTCAGAGGGTTGGCTTCAGAGGGTTGACTTCTGATTTCTTTTTTCTCTCCCCCACCCGAGAACATTCAATTGCAAAGTTTTTTAATTGTTCATCATCTCCAAAATGTTGTGCTCTATGAGCTATAGAAAATCCAACATGCTTAGCATATTTGGCATAAACTGTGTACATTTCTTCCATTGAGCTAAAACACATATCCTTCTTAGGTTCTTCAACTTCTCCACCCTCATTTACTGAAGGAATGTCACCAACATTTGAATCAACCTCCATTCTTCCACTTTGCATAATGAAATAACAATTAAATGATTTTAGAATGATTATATAACATAATGCCCAAACAAACATAATGAATCAGTTCCCTAACACAATGCCCAAATTAAGGACAACTACTAATTTGAACCATTGTTGAATAATGGAACTGATTTGAACAAATATTATGTGACTATCCCCAAAGTGTATGAACAAATATCAGGGGATAGTTAATGAAACTAATTTTTTATCTAGTGAAGAAAGTGTATGAACAAATATCAGTGAATAAATAACAGTGTATGAACAAATATCAGGGGATAGTGTATGAACAAAGTGTATGAACTGATTTGCTAATGAAACAAATGTCCAAATTGAGTCACTTGGGGTTGGGGATAGTTATATATGGAACTGATTTTTTTTTTTGTTTAACTATTATTACTGATTTCTTACTTGGAGAGCTGGGGGAAAAAGTTTACCTCATAAACTACCGATCCAGAGTATGTGTGAGACAGAGACAGAGACAGAGATAGAGACGAGCACGCAGCCGAAGATTGAGGATAGTGATAGACAAAGATGCAGCCGAAGATTACATCTACCTCAGTCGCAAGATCATTTGGATTGTGTACATAGGAAAAGCCTAAGTTTGGGTGGACAAAATTAAATACTGATGGATCTGTAGGTCGAGATAATGCTAGCTTTGGTGGTTTGTTTCGCGATTACAATAGTCGTCGTCGACAGCATAGAGCTAGGTAAAGGAGGAGGATGGCAGAGAGCTGGCGGCGACAGGTGAAACAGATGAGGGAAGATGATTTTGGGTTTGGACTCCCGCTATTTCCATCTTTTTCCTTTTTTTTTTCACAGCTGCGTGCATGTATATAACCTTCTCCCACATCAGCTGCCAACACTGGAGGTCCTGGGGGTCAAGTTTCACTGGGGGTCTGTAGCGGGGTTGTTTATCTAAATACTACACTTCTTTATCTCAAACTCAAATAAGTTATTCTATACATCTGGGACATTGTATTCTTTAGAATCACACCATCATGTGAAGTCTATCCCAAAATGCAAGTACTCGTGTGATTGTGGTTATTGATGGGTTGGGGCAATATCCTATAAGACACAATAATTTGTCTTATGGAAAATATACAAAACCCTTGCAGGTCAGTTATTGATTGTTGTTTACTAAACGAACATATTTTAGGAATAATGTTATATATAATCTCAATTCTTATCTCTCTTTTTTTCACATGGAGACAAAACAATAGGTGCTTTGGAGTGATAAAAAAAGGTAAAAATAAAATTTTATGTAGTATTTTTGCATATTTTAGAGGGCTATAGCATTAATATCTTCCCTAATTGGACAATTATACGATAATTTCGAAATACCATGTGGTATATTCTTTAATCAATTACCATTTATTATACCCTCTTATGTTTCTCAATCACCCAATAAAAATAACTAATACTCCACATTCTTAACCAATCATATTATCATGGAGCACCACGTGGCTGTACTTCGAGACAACTAAATAATCACCAGAAATGGGGTCACTGCTGTGCCTCAATTTGAGGTGCATTATGGGATAATTTTTATGATCTGAACCATACATTTTGTAGGGTTTGTTGAGTACTTCATACCTACCAAAAATCATATTAATTGGATATCAATAACTATATGATCGAATTGCATATTTTTTATGCTATTTCTCAAAAGAAAAACTTATTGTTTATCTTTTTGGTTATCAATCATATAGTTATTGATATCCGATTAATATGATTTTTGGTACGTAAGAATGAAGTACTCAACAAACCCTACAAAATGAACGGTTCAGATCATAAAAATAAGCCCATAATATACCTTAAATGGAGGCACAACAGTTACTGCTGTGCATTTAATACAGTAGTGACTCCAATTCAATAATCACCCATCTCTGTTTAATGTTTTTATGATGGATGTATCTTTTTAATATTGTGACCCGATTTTTTAACTTTTTACTATAGCATTAATCTTATTGTGACCCATTTTTTTAAAAAAAATTTGGCACAAAAAATAGGATGTTGGTGAGTTAATTACAATGCAAGGACCATAGTTATTCCATCAACTCAAATTCTAAACTTCTAACATTCTCTTATATGGATCATTGGGCCAACTATCCTATCCTTTTCTGAGCCATATAGAAAGAAGAAAAATATTATTTATAATAGATGTTTTATTTGATTTTTTTTTTCCACTACACACAAAGGTATTAACCTCACATTTATTTATTACTATGGATCCTACTATTTTTATTGCTAGTGGTATGAAAATCTGATAAAAAAATTATTTTAAGTATAATATTATTCTTAAAAAATAGAGGCCAAAATTAAGCAGCATTATGTGAATAATCTGTACCATTTCAGTTCATGGACTGTTATAGAAATCTCTTAATTAAAGGTTCCCTCCAAGTGAATGGCAAGTCCCACCTGCATATGCACCTAAAGTGGTAGAACGGAGGGTGGTAAAAGCATGTGTCCAACAATAGTTCACCATCAACTCACAAGTAATACTAGTAAGGTTAAACCCTAAAGTCTAAAATAAAACAATAAAAAAGGTTAATATTTCACTTTTATCTCTGAATTATTGTCAAAAATTATCTGCTTAATCAAATAATTTTAAAATATGCTCTAAAAATAAAGTGTATAGTATAAATTACATCCATAGTTTTGACCAAAAAGTGTTGTTGGTGCCATGAATGCCACTCCATCCTTAACAACCAATTCATTTCTAGAAAAAGAAACAGAGGAAAATAATCCTGATGTGAATAATGACGCCATGAAAAAACTGTCTTAATATATAAAACTTCAAATTCTCAAGGACTACGATGATCATGTCTCAATATTTGATATGATAATTTGTAATTAATCAAAATTATTTAATTAATCAGCTGAACATTCCTCAATAGTTGTTATAAAAGAACTAATAATAAAGTTTGTCATTATCGGGCTTGGTGGCACGAATTCAAAATACATAAACAGACTCAGAAAATGAAAATGATTGTGTAGTAGACAGAGAGATTGAGAGAGGAATCGAAAAATACAGGGCAACTTTTTATTAATATCAGCTTTTTCATAGGGCACAATGCGCATCCCTGATAAAAAAGAAAATCTAAAACCATATACAAACCTAACCCATAAAATTTTAACCTAATCTTGGCAATTCTTTCAAAGAAAACCCCACTAACTTTGGTGTTGTAATAGCTTGCTTCTCTGTGCCAACCAAGTTAGAATAGATTTACTTTGCTATGACACTCTATATACACTCACACCTCTCTTTATTGATATTGTTGTTGTAGTATGTACTTTGTGTTTCATCAATAAAGTTTTTTATTTTGCAGATCCAAAAAAAAAAAACTCATCTTATAGTTTCATCTGATCATGGATGTGAGAGAGAGGAAAACAACTTCTTCACAAGGAATAGTGAGACCCATGTTATTCTTAAACCCAAACTCTTCTTCAGCTCTTTGAAGTAGAGTTTGAAACTCAGGATGAGCTAACCATGAAATGGGAACAATATATCTACTTCTGTTTTCTCCGACGTAGATGGCGAAATGACCCTTTGGGACATCCTCAGGGAGACCATTGTTGCTGTCTTCATCATAGCCATTTGATTGTTGTTTCTTCCCAAAGCTTGAGCACCTTTTGAGTATTTGTTTGAAAGAAGCTGTTTGAGTAAGCTTGTTTGATTTCTTGATGAGAGCCATGGAGACTAGTGTTGTACAGAAAGAGAGAGAGAGAGAGAGGGGTGGGGATGGGGGTGGTGGTGTGCGGTAGGGGAAGATTGAAGAGATGGAGAGGTATTTATATATGGGGAACGGAAGAGAGGGAGAGGGAGAGGGAGAGAAACAAAGGCATGTGGGAGTGTGGGGCTGGGGAAGAAAGGAATGGCGGTGGTTTTTAGATCATCATGCAGTGTTCATACCCCCATTGGGCCTACCTTACCTTGTTTCATCTGCTATATATGGACATCATGGACCACCCCAATCTCTCTCTCTCTCTCTCTCTCTCTCTCTCTCTCTCTCTCTCAAATTACTAAACCTATGTGCTCAGAAAATTTGCCAAGAAAACTATCCAAAACAGTGATGTGGTTGAGATTGGGTTATTGCATCGGGGATCCATAACTTAGACACAATGAAGCTTCTAAGTAATATTTCTGAATTTGTAGCATTGTTGCTCCCAAATTTCTTGTTTTTGTCATTTCTCTCCAATGAGATATTTCTTACTTCTTGGTTAGAGTAGGGGAAAAAAGATATCGCATTGATTGGTTAAATGGATTACAATCACATGAACTAACTTCGGAAATATTCTTTTTAAATCTGCACTCCAATATTTAAGTTAGTAATTGCATGTAAACTCTCAACATGGTGATAATAAGGTTGCTTATAATTGTGTATTTCTACTTGAAGGCTATGTGTGCGTCTTAGACTTCTTAAATTGACTATTGAGAACGTGCTCCGCCCTAGGCGAGACCATCAAATTTTCAAAAACAAGGAGTATAATTTCACTCTTTATGAATATTTGATTGGATTTACTATTCAAATAATTGATCATATCATGTTCAGCCAAGCAATGCAGATGTGCAAAATTATCTCCCACATAATACTATCTGATAATGCAGTCTGGTCGGCGAAGTGCGGGTCGAACTGATCCAAGCACTTCATGGATTGGTTGTCCTTCGTCTTCCTGATCACACCTGCAAAAGGTCGAGTAAAAAAATTTCGAAATGGGGATGGTTCTTTTCTATGAACCCTCCGACGATCAAATTAGATGAAGAGGTAGGAACTTAGAGAAATTTAAGCGTAGAGGAATGAAGAGAGAGAGAGAGGGAGTGAGAGTAAGTTACTTGTTTCAAACGTTTCTCAAATTTTTTTTTATATCTCTTGTTAATCATTTCTTTGTCCATTCATGCTATCCTATTGGCCAAAAGTTTGTCACCTACTTACCATCGGCCATGGCCATTTCACCGCACTTCAGAGTGAGAGGTCTTATTACATTTAATGTTTTGACAGTCTCATTTAATGCTTAGCATGTGGGTTCAATAATTTTGCAGAATCTTTGTCTACCACGTGGCTGGACTCCTGTTTGACACGTGTCCACCTGGTGTCTAGGCTTGACTATTGTGGGTTCTCTATTAGGTTTGGTGTTGGGCCCATTCTACTGAGCTCTATGATGATAACTGATCAAATAATTGCTTGGGGAACCCATAAAAACCATGGGTTGGGCCCTTTTGGGCCATGCCCATCACTATCCATGCATACAAAGTTACAAATATTAGATTTTTTATTTATTTATTTATTAGATATTTGGTATTTAAGTGAGTATTCTAAGGTGGTGTAGGTGGTGTAGTTCTTTTTTTTGTTTATATAATTCGGCCCATTGATTAATCTGGATAATCAATCACATCATCCATGTAGAGGAGTCTTAATTAAAGACAAGATAAAATCTTATATAGACTGGTCTCAAAAAGTTATTTACACTTAGAAAATTTTGAACTTGAGATCTTGGAAGGAGTACACCCCCAAGTCTCAAGTCTTTACCACTATGTCAACTCTTTAAAATTAGGTGGTGTAGTTCTTGATTGGTTTATATAAGTGTGTTTATATTTATGTTAATATTTTGTCTAATAATATGAGGGTGGTATTTAATGATTAGTGTGAGATACTATATGAAAATGTTAAGTGGTGATGTACTCTGTTTCCAGCTATCCTATGGTCGATTGCCAAGTATGCCATGGCAGCAGGTCAGGGCAGTTATCCTGGATTCATTTGGGGTACGGTTGGATTCATTTGTATGGTAGAAATTGAATTGTTGTAGCGTAGGTCCGAGCATGAAATAAATCTAAGACATAAATTGGTCATAATTCAGTTATGTAATTGATTCTTAAGAATTTCATCATTAAACAAAAAAATTGTATATCTACAATTGCAGAGTTATAACCATGTACAGTCAATGGTAGTTTCACAAGCATATATACCAATGAATAATCAATCTATCAAGTAGAGAGCTCACACATGCGACAATAATCTCTTAATGTGCGAACTATTGAGAGTCACTTTACCATAGTACAACTTTTAATTTTTCTTACTCCATCAAGAGTCTTTGCGTAAGCCCAAGCTTACCGACACTAATGTTTTAAGAGAATCCACCCATAGATTGTTAGCCATTTTCTTGCTCTATCAAAAGTTACCATAGCCAAATTTGGGGGCCCATCAACGTGCAACGATATCAGTCTAATTCATTGGAGAGAAACTCCAAAGTCCACATATATAACATTGGAACCTAACATATATTATCAGTGAAAAATATATCCAACGTATATTAAAACTCACTCTTTTTTACTCTTTATCTAATGTGGGAATCAAATTTCATCCATACTCCAATAAAAACAAAACTAAAGAGAGGCAATCCCCAATTCACTATCCACCCAAAAAAATCCCCAATTCACCAAGAAGCCAAATAGGTCAACCATTGATGAATGATTATTGATTGTTGTTGCTGTTGGCTGTGGTCAAGGAATAATTTTGATAGTGGTTCATGGAACCCTCATAACTAACATTTTTGGCTTGGCTTTGGCCTCCATTGAACCATTGAACCCCTGCTGTTGCTGTCTTAGCATAACGAATCCGGAGTCTTTAGAAAACCTGAATTCCAGCAGGACACAACCATGTGGTGGTCTTATGAGAAGTTTATTCATTCTAGTTCCATTCCCAACCCAAGCATACACCTCTATATAATAATAATAAATTGTTCTATTTTCCCAATAATATTAATAAACGACAAAAGAACCCATTATTGACTCTCACAACAAATCATTTTTTTAACATACACTATGTTTTTCGTGTTATTTTGATCTTTACAGTTTTAAATTTGTTAATTTTATTCCTGAATTTGTAATTTGATTAAAACAAAGGTCCAATTTTAGACAACTGTTAAATCATTAACAAAATACCAATAAAAATACACGTACGGTTCCTACAATACGTGTTTTGTGTCAATTTAGTTCTTAAAACTTTAAATTTGTCAATTTTCTTTTGTTTGATCCTCTTGTGTTTTAGTTTTTTGAAATTCACAAAATTTAAACTTAGATGAGCGAAAGTAACACAAAATGTATACTCTAGGCCCTACAGATCAATTTTGTATTTTATTATCATTTCATTACTGATTTAGGCAGCTCACTTAAAATTAGATGAATTTGATAAACTAAATTGACAACAAAAAAGATAAGGACCCGAAACCACAGAAAAGATAAGGACCCAAAACTTCTGTCTAGAAACTTACCCAAATAATAATCATTGGGGGATTTTATTTACACCCAGAAAATTAATTAATATGCCCAATTTCTCAATACTCTCTATTAAATTATTTAAATATATAATTTACTTTCAATATATTTTATATTTTTTCACAAATTACCATTGAATAATATAATATTTTAATTTTATGGTACACCTAAATATAAAATCAATTTGGAATAGTTAACTTGTTTGAACTTTCAAAGCCGCGCATAGTTAGCTTGTTCGGTCGTCCAGTGTCGAACAAGATTGTTTTGTTTGAAATTTTAGATCCAAACAAATTTGTCTGAACAATATTGATGTAAAACAGACTGAATATTCATTTTTACGTATAAAAAAAAACACAAAAATAAAATATTGTATTTTGGATATTTATATGAATATTTACATACTCTTTGATGGGTTGCTTTAAAAAAAAAAAAGTTTTGATTATCCATTGTTTGATTTTGTTCAAATTTTTTTCTATTTACAAGTAACAACACAATAAGAAACAATGAGGTTGATGATAATGGTGAGTTTTGGTGGGATGGATATTGAAGTTTTACAGTGAAAAAAAAAGAGAGAGAGAAGAAAAGAAGAGAAAATAATTGAAACTTGAGGAAGAAGATGAAGAGATTTGAATATAAATAATATGTATAAGTGGTTAGAATGTACCATGAGAAAAAAATATATTTTAAGATTTAATATGTGTTGTCTTTATTAGTAAATTTACATTAGTGTATAATAGAGAGAGAATTTTATTTTGCCCCCCAAATTATAACTCAATAATTAATTTAACCCTAGTACTTTTTATAATTTCAATTTTACACTTAAACTACTTGATTTTGGATCAATTTCAATTTCATCTCCTTCAACCAGAACTCACACTTCCCGAATTTAACATACAATTTGTGGTTAGCTATTGTTTATAATTAAATAGAAGTTGTTGATGTGGCGCCAAAATTTCTTTTGAAATCTTATTTTACCTCCCAAATTATCTCAAAAATATCAATTAGACCTCCAAACTTTATATTGTTTAGGGGTTTAATTGATATTTTAGAGATAGTTTGGGACGTAACATGAAATCTCAAATGAAGACGACAGCAAATATTGTCTAATTATAGACGGTAGCTGATGACAGGGGTGAAATTAATCCAAAATTGAATAATTTAGGTGTAAAATTGAAATTATAAAAAGTACTAGGGTTAAATTAATTATTGAGGAACAATATTGATGTAAAACAGACTGAATATTCATTTTTACGTATAAAAAAAAACACAAAAATAAAATATTGTATTTTGGATATTTATATGAATATTTACATACTCTTTGATGGGTTGCTTTAAAAAAAAAAAAAAAAGTTTTGATTATCCATTGTTTGATTTTGTTCAAATTTTTTTCTATTTACAAGTAACAACACAATAAGAAACAATGAGGTTGATGATAATGGTGAGTTTTGGTGGGATGGATATTGAAGTTTAAAAAAAAAAAAAAGAGAGAGAGAGAAGAAAAGAAGAGAAAATAATTGAAACTTGAGGAAGAAGATGAAGAGATTTAAATATAAATAATATGTATAAGTGGTTAGAATGTACCATGAGAAAAAAATATATTTTAAGATTTAATATGTGTTGTCTTTATTAGTAAATTTACATTAGTGTATAATAGAGAGAGAATTTTATTTTGCCCCCCCAAATTATAACTCAATAATTAATTTAACCCCGGTACTTTTTATAATTTCAATTTTATACCTAAATTATTCAATTTTGGATTAATTTCACCCCTGTCATTAGCTACCGTCTATAATTAGACAATATTTGCTGTCGTCTTCATTTGAGATTTCATGTTACGTCCCAAACTATCTCTAAAATATCAATTAAACCCCTAAACAATATGAAGTTTGGAGGTCTAATTGATATTTTTGAGATAATTTGGGAGGTAAAATAAGATTTCAAAAGAAATTTTGGCGCCACATCAACAACTTCTATTTAATTATAAACAATAGCTAACCACAAATTGAATGTTAAATTCGGGAAGTGTGAGTTCTGGTTGAAGGAGATGAAATTGAAATTGATCCAAAATCAAGTAGTTTAAGTGTAAAATTGAAATTATAAGAAGTACAAGGGGTTAAATTGATCATCGATGTATAGTTTTAGGATAAAATGAAATTTCCTCCACAACAGAAACTAAAATTTTAATTGGACGTACTAAATTATTTTTTGGTGCAAATAGAATCACCCATTATATTGGGATTCAAATTAAACCATTTTTTGATTGGATCCATATGTAAATCAATCTCAATCCTACATTAATTTTTTCTGGGAAATTCTAGATCGAAAATTTTCTAAAATCCTAGCATAGCTGAATTGACAAAATTACAACTTAGAACACCTAAGAACACCAAAGTTCAGGTATCATAAGTTTTGTTTTTGAACTAATTCTAGTATATACATATCAAAGTCGAAGGAATGAACATGCAATTTGGCTTCCTTTTTTATTTTTTTTGTTTTTGATTTCCCCCTTAATTTTGCGAGGATATTTGTTTCCCCTTTTCTTTTTTAGAAAGGTGTGAATGTATGGGGATGATCATTGTTATCACTGTGCTAGTCCGGCACTTATGGGTGGAATGTCTGAACATTATATGACTTCCCATGTGACCATAGAACCATACTAGAACCACCACCATGATCAAAAACAGTGGAAAAACAAAAACAGATCAAAATTCCTACTAAGAACAAGCACCACTAACATATCTGGTCTCTGGTCTGATGACACCAAACAGCTATATAACCCATGTTCTAAGGCCAAGGAAAATGGCATCTTCCAAAACAATACTCTCCCTGTCCCTCTTTCACACTCTTCACCAATTTCATCTTCAACTTTCACATCACTATACCAAACATCCATGCTCTTTGCTTGCACAATAAAATTAATATTCAGTTATTCTACTTGTACAGAAATCAATCATAAAATTAGACACAATATTCTTATATGAATGTAGGACTTACAAACCAATTATTCAACCTTCTCACATCTATACCATGTGAAAATGTTGTGAAACTATTTTTGTGTTTCTAGACCTTACATGAAAAAAGAAAAAAAACGAAGTCAAATGGAAAAGTAAATGAAATATAATTTTTTTTTCTTTTTCCTTTTTCCTTTTCAAATCTTCACTCAAATGCTTGATCCAAAAAGAGTTTACGATTCATCTAATTCCCACATGCAAGAACAACTACACACAACCTTCTCACATCTACATTATGTGAAAGGATTGTGTCCAATTTCATGAAACGATTTATGTGTTTCTAGACTTTTCATTAATATTAACTCAAACCCATAGCTCAACTGAGTCAAGTGAGTCAATATTTTGTTTCGATTAAAGAATTGAGGAGATATTTATTGAAAGAGAGAGAAAAAAAAAATAAAAAAAATAAAGTTAAGAGAAAAGGGAATGAAATATAAATTATTATTTTTTCCTTTTTGCTTTTTTTTTTTAAAAAAAAAAATTCAAATCTTCTCTCGAATCCTTGATCCAAAAAGAGTTTTAAATGTCCAATTCTTCTAATTCCGATGTGCAAGAACAATAGGGCACCAAAAAAGTATTTGTATTTTGTAATATGTTTATTTATTTCTTTAAAAGTAAAATAATGTTCATAATGTGTGATAGAGAATTTCGTGTATAATTTGATGGTAAACTAGGTGAATGTTTATCAACACATGTCAAACACATACTACATATTCTTCACATAAGGCAACTAAATCAAGGTTAGAGAGTTCCCTTGCCAACAAAACCAATTCAAAATGATCAGAGATGAATGGGCACAAAGTAGAGAGGCTCAAAAAGAATAAGCTCTATGCCATGTTCTGTGAATGAGAGAAGGGTGTGAAATGTGTGGATGGGCTATCATTGTCAAAAGGGAGGCAAAGGCCATCATTTGCTAATCAACAAACAAAGGACTCATTCTTTTATTTGATGTTGACCTTGTCTTGTCTTTCAACTATAGCATGTGATGCCCATGTTACTCTTGTCTTCAAAACCTCTTATGAAGACAAAAATAAAGACATCAGATCATTCCCACTGCTTGAGAAAATTTTATCAGATAAGCCCCTGGTTGTTCCAACCATCTTCTTCAACACTGAAAAATGAAAGAAACTAGCATTACAAATGTACGAAAATTGCCTTACGGCTTTCTAGCTCAATTACACTTTACCAAAAGTAAGAAGTTGGGTGTTCGAACCTTGCCAAAAACGAAATCGAGTGACAGAGCTCCTTTAACTTCTATTTATACCACTTGTCACGGATTCACTCATCCTTGTAAGAGCATGTGTTATGATCTCATATTGATTAATAAAGGTCTTAACCACGTCAATATAAACCTCTTAGACACCCTCCTCCTGAAAATCGATTTTCAAAAGTGAATTCTACCCAAGAGTTTTTATCAAATAGGCTCAATACATAAACTCTATTTTAGATTATTTTAGATTTTCAAAAAAAATTATTAATAAAAACATAACTGTTACCAAACCAATCTGAATCAATAAAGTCCGGATTAACAAACTAAATCATTTGTTTTCGTTACCCACAGGTGCTTCTATTTGCACCGCACAAAAATCTCTGTATTTTTTTTTTTTTATATTTACAATATCAAACTATAATTTCTCCTTCCACCAACTCCTCCCCATCATCTCCTTACCCTATCTTCCCGGGAAATTCTATTTTCACATATCAAATTATCTCTGTGTACATCTTTTCTCAATCCACACATGTAATTATTTGATTTTTACTTCTTTATCTCATTCCACACACTTCACATTCCAAATATACCCTCACCTTTTCTGTGCACATCATCTCCGTCCATCCTCACTACAAGGTACGCTGTGACCTGAATCTATCTGAATCTACTTGTTGTCCTCTTTCTCATTTTGGTGGACTTGATTTGATGGTTTCATATTTTTGTTGTTTGATTTTAATTTTAGATGCGAATTTGTCAATGTTTGTATAAAAATCTGAAAGGTTAATGAAAAAAGTTCTAATTTTGCTTGGATTGATTATGTTTGTGCGTAAAAGATCGATCTTCTTATATTTCATTTCGTATTCCTCCAATCTATTGTTTTGGTTTATATTTGTGTTTGATTCAAGTTTAGTTACTACACAACTCTCTCTGTTTTGAATGGACTCATGGTTGAGCTTGATATTTTATCAATTTATAAGTGATCAATATATTGTAACCTTTTCTTTGTGATTAATCAATTCAATTGTCTGATTTGTATTCCCCGCTTTGTATGGTTAAGGTTTGGGCATGGAAGGCAATGGCCGGTGGTGAAGTAGCTAGTGAGATTGTGATGGGTGAGATACGTATGAAGAAATTGTGAGATGTGTGGGTGAGATAGTAATTTTTTTTTTTTGTTTTTTTTTTTTTTTTTTTTTTTTTTTTTACAGGAAGATCCTCCCTACCCTCCCGCAGATCCAACGCAGCACCCCTTACAGAAATCAGCAGCGTATCCGGTTAGCCGTTTCGAGCGAGAAAACTATAACTTGGAAACTTGCCCCGAATCATCAAGGTGTCCTGTTAGCCGTTCCGAGCGAGGAAACTATAACCTGGAAACTTGCCCCGACCAACCTGGAAACTTGCCCCGACCAACCAAGACAAGCTCTGCTTAAGTCAGGACTCGCACAGCAGGGGAACTCTGAACCCACACCAAGTGCTGATTAGACAACTTGAGATCCAACCTCCTAACCAACTGTACTTCGCCCAGGAGATTGGCCCAAGGGGGAGAGAATTGAACTTGTGACCTTATGGCTTAAACCGCAAGTCTTAACCACAATGCCACACACCCTTGGGTTGTGAGATAGTAATTTTGTTGAAGCATAAAATTGTGATTCTGAAAAAATTCATTAATGTTGTGATTGGTTGGGAGATTTGAGGGGAGATTTGGAAAAAAAATAGAAAAAGAAGGTAAATTGTGAATAAAATATACCTATATTTCACCTAGTTTCCCACACTTTTTCCCTTTCCCTTTCCAAATCCCTCCTCAAATCCTCCAACCAAACACAACATAAATGTGTAGAGTAAGGAAACTTGGTGGGTAGAAATATGATAATTTCTCATCTCCCTTCATTCATTCATTCACATTGCTAAAATGACTAAAACACCCTCACTAGAATTCAAATGCTAAAGAGAGGAAATCTGTAACATTTGGCACACGTAAATCAAATAACATTGTTTAATCCCAACAAATTTGAACCAAATTTGGCGAGTTTTCCCCCATATAATCTATTTAATTTATCTAAAGAATTTTCAAATATGAACGGACTATGGCCTCTTCCATCACTACTTTCCAGAAACCATTTGGAAGGATATAAACAAAATAACAATAAAACCATACCTGTCTGTTAGAGAGAACTGCAGAGGTCAATGGAAAGGGGGAGAGATGATTTTATAGACATGTAAAACAAAATAAAAAGTTGTTTATCAAGGGTAGAATTTTACAGCAACAATGCAACATCTAATAACCAAAAAATGATACAAGAAAACCTATGGTACATTTCAAGAAAGAACCCACCAGGCAGCTTTTCCAGCCCAATATTATTCATCAACTCAGAAGAATGGCCAGTAGGTGAGCCAAGCAAAACAAATTAAGGCAATGTGGAATCAAAACTGTACCGAACTAAATATTCGAAGCACTCAAGGCCATCACCTTGCATTGTTCATTCATGGCCAAAAGCTGGGCCTCTTTTTTGTCAAGTAGAGTGGTCAACCTCACATTCTCTTCCATGAGTTTCTGGACTTCAGTTTCTTTCTGCATTTTCTCACTCTCCAACTGCGTTGTTTTCTCAACTAACCTGCCCCGGAAAAAAATAAAAATAAAAATAAAAATAAAAAATATTACATAAACAACTGGGGTTACTATTTCATTTATCAATCGATACCATCACAATTGCAGTGGAAACAAAATGGCAGCCCAGTGTTACCAGAAAACATTAACACTTTAGCAAATTAGGTTTTGGAGCATACATCCAAAACACGGTTACATTTTCGTTTCAAAACGTTGAATTTAGTGATTCAAAGTGATCTCAAAAGTTTTTTTTCTAATATATTTCCTTAAGGTTGTGTTTGGATCTTGGATTTATAGAGAGAAGAAAAGAGAAAGGAAATGTAAAGGAACACAACATATAGTTTTCCTTTGGAGGAAAAAAATCAAATATAATGTACTTAAATCTAAAGCTAACGAAGTTTTGACATGACAAAATGTCAAGCATGGGTGATAATATTTATATAAATATGTTGCTACACGATTAATTTAGGGGGAAAAAAGTTAAATTTTATTGGATGTCTAATTGTTAAAGAAAATTACTCTAGAAGTACCTTAAATTCTTATAGCGTAATCTATATACAAGTCTACTCCCATTGTACCACATTCCCATACCGTTCCAAGTAACATAGGGCAAGCCATTCCAACAGTGGTCTATTCTTCAAGAGAAATACCAAGCTAAGTCGAACACTGATTTTCACACTTAGCAGTGTACAAATTAGACCTTCCTCAAGCTGAACTAGAACAGGATCCAAGCTTAACTAACCTCTTCAGCATGGTTTTGTTATGTTCTCTTGACCCTGAACTTCTCCAAATCCAGCATTCATTCCATGTTAGGAGTCTATTACTCCCAAAATTCCTAACTTCAGTAAAACTAAAAGAGTGATTGCAAGTATGCATACATAAAAAACATGATTATTTACACAATTCCTCTAGGATTGAGTTTATATCATTTGTTAATTGTATATTTTAAGTAAATTATTTAAGTTACATAAGGGATCATATAACTGCACGACACTAATGACAAAAGCATATATTCTAAATCAAAGCCAAACCCAGTCATGGTCATCCTTGATTTTTCAAGGAAGCCAGCTCAAGATGCAAATTTGAACTGTGCTCATTTAATTGGCAAGAACCATGATGTACCACAATTTAATTCATAAGCTTCGGCCAAGATGTTCATCACCAACATGGCTCACTAGCCAGCCAACAACCGCCATAACTAAAAATGCCTGATGAAAGCCATGGTTCTTAAAAAGCACTTGGACTTAGGTGACTTGTGTAATCCTCAGACACCATTGCAAGGGCGAAAGAATAGGACAGGATAATTGCCTGAATGATATCCTAATCACTTCAGCAAAGCAATAAATAGAACTAACTGAGTAACAACATAATCAATCAGGAGGATAATTGTCCAATTCGACAAAAGACAGCCCTGATGAAAATGATTTAATTTGTTCGTCAACTAAAAGTTATTGCACAGTACCGACAGCTTAGAAGTGCATCGCTTTCTCTGTTATGAACTAGGGAAAATCTAATGATTTAGGGATAGCTTGCAGAAAAATAAAGATTTGAAAAACAGGCACATAATCACTATAAGCAACTAGGACAAAGACAAGGACAAACATAGACATGACCTATGTTACATGAACTTGGGTAAATGTGTCAGGTGTGGGTATGCATCTAAGCATCAAATTCATCTAATCCTACACCACATGGTTAGCCATTCATATTCATAACATTCTTCTTTCATGTCCTAGAATAATATAGCGCTTTATGGGACGTAGAACTTTAAGCACGGGTACTTTATTCACTTTCAAATCAACAATAATTAACAAAATCAACGCAATTAAAGTGTTTAACTTACAATTATATAGTCAACTTGAATTTCCAAACATGTTGGTAAGGTGCACGTTGAAATAGATGATTTGAGGCCAGCAAAGGAGGGCATGAAGTTGGTGGGCGAGTGGATGCCAGAGATGTAGAGGTCAGGGATGAAGAGACTACAAGCAGAGGTTGGGATTGGAGAACTGGTAGATGCCATAGAGCCACCACTGGAAGGTATGAGAAAATTCTCGAAAAGAAAAGAAAATTTTGCAATTTCTGAATGCAGCAGTAATTTCGCTGTAAATTTAAAGAAAACACTTCGCATGGAAGAGAGTTGTAACAGTCTCTGACCTTGAACCTCTGTGAGAAGTAATATGGTGAGGGCATGTGATCTAACTAATTGTTGAAGAGAGCAGGAGCATGTCAGGTTGGTGGTCCTTGAAGATTGCCAATTGATTCTCAGGTTATAATTTCATTGCTTTGTGTTTTTGGTGATGGGAAAACAGAGAGAAGGTGATACAGCTTAAGTTAAACAAAGGTGATGAAGAGAAGATGGGAGGGTAAACATGACAGAAGACAATAATATGCATGGCTCCATAAATCTGATGCATGGAATTAGCAGCTCCCAATTAACAAAACAACTGCTAGGTCTTAATATTAATGGCTCATTGTGGAATCCCAAATCCCCCTCCAAAGAAATATACACGTATATGCAAATAACATTGTAAAGTGCTACTTATGTGACAAATACACAGACGGAAACATTCAGCATAAACGATGGATTGAACAATATAGCAAAGAAATACAGTAAGTACAGGATTTATTGTTAGCATATAAATCAGGCATCATCATAATCCAATGTAACAATATAGCATGTGCCTATAATAATAAAAGTAAGGCCTAGGTTAAGGCAACCATTTTCATTCATGAAAGGGGAAAATAAGCATACTAACCGTTCAAAAAGCCTCTCAATTGTTTGAAACTGCTTTTCTGATGACAGAAGTGTTTCTCTCACATTGATAAGGCTACTAACATAAGATTTCAGCGATTCAAAATCTTGCTTCACACTACAAAGCTCCTGTTCATTTTCTGCTGCTCGTTGCCTCTGTCTAGATGTTTCTTCAACCAAATCTTCAACCCTCTGTCGCATCTCATTCAAAATACGATTTGTGCCCAGTGCAAACCTTTCCATTTCCTCCAACTTCGTAGACATGCTCTCAATTTGAAGTGCCTTCTTTTTTATCTCTTCCTGTCCCAATGTTACCTTCTCTTTCTCCATAGCTGTTTCAGATTCTGCCATTATAACCCTCTTGACAAGAGTTTCCATTACATCAGTAACCATCTGCACATTCTTTAGTACTTCACCAATATAAGCTCCATCTGGTTCATCAAGAGAACCATGCTGCTTGCTAATCCCAATCCATGTTTCCCCATCTGGACAGTCAAAGGAAGAAAGATCTATGTTCCTAGATGAACCAGATAACGGTAAGCCATTTTTGTCAACAAGCCCCACCCCATCTATTTGTTTAATGTCACATGATGTATGGGCTAAATGAGTAACAGCCATGATTCTTGCCTTCGATTTCAAGAAAGTCAACAATGTTGCTGTAGTTTTGACTCTCCGCCAAAGAACCTCCAACTCCTTTACCGTGTCTTCCTCATACCCCTGTATGCAAGCCTTTACCTCCATAATTTTTGCTTGCAAAAGATCCACTTCGGATTGGCTTCTTCCCATGTCCTTTTTCCACATTGTTTGTGTTTGGCTTAGCTGAGACTTCAAAGTTGATAAATCAACATCTTCCTCTGATGCCATCACCTTTCAAAATCACACAATACTGCACGTGAGAACTTAGTAAAACCCAACTAACAAACAATCAAAACAATTAGACAAAGATGCCGACAAGGATTAATCTTAGAAAATTTTCATAAATGGTCTTCAAAATAACATATTTTGAAACTACAGCAGATCCCAAGTTGTAAGAAGAATTGTATCTAACGTGAAGGTTCACACAATAAAACAACCATAAGTTCATAACTCTCATTGCAATATGTTACATAAGTTTCATTGGGATAGTCCTTATGCTTGTGAGCTTCAGATTCTCTAAATTGGTAATACACAGAAAACAGTAGAAAATATAGTTTGCTAAGCAAGAGCATAAATCATGGTCAAATAGACGTAAATGCCGCTGATTCAAGTATTTGTATGTCAGGGTAATAAAACTTTTGGTTGATATAGGTAATCTTGCCCACATCTCCCACAAATATCATAGAATATTTGTCAAAGGCCTTGAAAAAAACAATAGCAAAATTTTAATTTGGTTCAATTTATTTTTTTAAAAAAAAGAAGTGTACATATGGGTGGGCAGACAAACACAAGGCTAAACACCTGCAGAAGCATAAGAGCCAGGTCCTAAAAACGCTATAGCAAGCCACTTTTCCAAAATTATTAACACTCAAATTATGGTTTAGTGGGTTTTAAATACAAGAAGTTTATTAAATCACTTAAACTTCAGGCATGGGCATCATGTTTGGAGGCCTAGATGCAATTTCAAAGGGTGTTAGGGAAGCTGAATAATTCATTTTTTTAAAACATGGCCCAAATGCAGTAATTTTATTGCCCAGGAGTAGCATTTTCCAAATAAGGTTTCTCAAGTGAAGTTCCTTTTACTTGTGTAATGATAGTCCAATTGTAAACCTCGCTGTAATTAAAGAACCACACACTCGCCCCCCAGCCACCACTATTCAGTGCCATCTGGACACCAACCTCCAGCAACCTAGGCTCTGGTCAGGTAACAGCACTAGGCAATCTTTGTCCCTGCTGCCATGCCAACCCATCGGGTAGCCAATGGTATTTTCCACCCTTCAATAAAGAAATTGACTCCAAAAACTCATGAAATATTCTTTTGTTCTCATAAGGATGAGAGTAGAACCCAAAACCAAAAAAAAGAGGTAATTAAGATAATTTGAGCTATGTCACTTGTAGGTGAAAAATAGAATTTTGTTTGGTACAGGATGGGACCGAGTATAAGGAATTAAATTCTTTTAATGTCTATAAAATACAATAATATAGATAAATAAAAAAATGTCCACAAGTATATATTGAATTTTTTTATTATCACTGCATAAGCATGCAGAATTTATGTTTTGGAACTATATTTCATGCTAATAACTATAATAATAATTAGGGCAAAATCCTCTTTACCCCCTTATGGTTTTGGTCTAGAGCATTTTTCTCCCCCTCACATTTGAGTATATGCAAAATCCCTTCAAGTAGTTTTGACTCATTGCCCAACCATGAGAGGGTACAGGGCATTAGCATTTACAAAGGATGAAATTGATACATTATATATATATATATATCATACATGTGTGTATATTTTCACTATTTAGCCTATTGGTGAATTAATTTTGGTTAAATATGACTGTGGTGATTGCGACACAGTAGAGGGTCACATTAAGGAGGAAAAGAATATTACAATGGTGAGGGTATGCCCATGGCCTTGTGGCCTAATGGCATGGAGGCAGCACTTAAGTACTTGAAAGGTAGAGGTTGGGGATTCAATTTCTCCTAGAAGCTAATTTAACAACTAGAAATTGACTTTTGTGGATAAATAAAAAGTAAAATTAGAAAAAATAATGCTGAGGGTATAAAAGTTAATTTGCATTTTCCATGAACGACGTTAACTATGCACTTTAGGCCCAAACCACACGAAGGTGAATTGCATATTTTTAAATAAAAGGGGAGTGAATTATTGTGGAGCCAAACCACATTATGAACAAAAAGAATTTTGCCCTAATAATAAAGGATTTTTCCCTAATGATTAATGTCATAATATAGTTTAGCCTTACCAAACAATAGATTATCACATATAGATAAGGAAAAAATTAGCATTTCAATCCCTAATCACTTCCACAAAATAGCCAAATAGACTGATATTTAAATTTAACAGCTAATAACAGCACTTTAATAAAAACAAATCCAAGAAGTAAGGCTGCATTAGGTAGCATGTCCATGCATTGAATTTGTAATAAGAGGACATTTTAGTTATAATTTTGGTCTAATATAGCTTCTATTTCCAATTCCAAGGCATGCATTCCACAGTGCCAAACACAAACTTAAACCAATTACAAGCACACTCAATTTTCCCATAATAAATTTGCAAAAGACAACTTTTCATTAGCCACAGCTCCACAAACAGGAAGTTAATAGAAACACATTCTGGAAAATGAAGCCAATGAGCAAATAATTGCATGAAGCACAGGAGACAGTGATCAGTGATCAAATAAAATCGAAATTTCATGCGGAATGATCTTCAACAACAAATTTACATTGAAATTAAACCCTAATCATGAAATGATTACTCAAGCCAGGTAACGGAATTTTCACATTCCTGCCCAGAAAAAGAAGAAAAAACCAAGAAAAATGCTACCAAAATCAATATTCCAGAAAACTAAAGGGGAAATTACACCAAAGTGGAATTCAGAAAAGAAAAAAAAATAAAATTATTCATGAAAAAGTATACAATTTTTATTAATATTTATAAAGTTTCTTCTCACTGATTTCATTTTTTCAAAATCCCACTGATGTGATATCCCCAAAACAAAACAACACTATCATGAACTCAGAAAATCCCAAGTGATCTCATTGGTGTGGGCTATTACTGATAAACCCTAATCATAGGAAATTGTTTGATTTCAGTGATCCAAACAGAAAAACACGTTCTTGATCTCGAATTCTTAATCAAACCCTAATTCAGGGAGACAATGAATACGGTATATGAAACTGATATTTTGATAACAAAAAAACAAATATAGTTATGCGCTACATGGACAAATCGAACAGCTTTGGGTTGACAATTCAGAGCAAAACAAACAGTGTTTTGTGGAAGATGAAAGGGAATTGGTGATGGAGAGAGGGATCACCTTCTGATTCGAGGACAATTTGGGAGCCTCTGAGAGGCTTCGACTCAGGGGGAGAGAGAGAGAGAGAGAGAGAGAGAACGCTGTGATTCGTGAATCACATATTCGTCCCGTTGGGTGGCTGCAGCTTTTGGGAGGTTTTTTTAAAAGGACGTTTTATTTATTTATTTAAGCGAAAATTACATGTAGGTGGAAGAAAAAAAATATTTTAGTTAGAGTTTTTTAAAAATATTTTTTAAAAAATTTTATTTTTTGTTTTTCGTATTTTTTTTTTATTTTAATGAATTTTTTTTAATATTTTAAGAAATTTTTTTATATTTTAAATATATCTAACATAAATATACTTAAAAAATAAAAAATTTGTGAAAAAATTCTTTTAAAAATTCACTAAATACTAAAAATACAAAAAAAAAAAACGAGAATTCAATATATTTTCTGTATTTTTATGTATTTATTAATTTTTTAAAATATTTTTTCATAAATTTTTTACTTTTTAGATACATCTAAGTAAGGTATATCTAAAAAAATAATAAAAATATTTAAAATTTTAAAAATATTCACTGAAAAACCGTAACGTAACGTGACTCATATTTAAACGTAACGTGTCACCTATGATCTATGGCAATAGATCATATTTATATGAAATGTAACGTGACACCAACATAAACCAACAACATTTTCACATTCAATTTAAAAAAAATAAAAACTCATTAAGTTTGCGAAACATAACGTGACACGTTACGTTATGTTTATGTAGGTGTCACGTTACGTTACGTTTATATAGGTGTCACGTTACGTTACGTTTTTGTAAGTGTCACGTCACGTTACGTTTATGTAGGATCTTGTGGAATACATTCCTATCTAAATAGGACTTGAGATTCTATAAGAAATTACACAGGACTTAGCCTACCATAAGTGTCTGAAAAAGGACTTATAAATAAGTCTCCCTATAATTAATCTATGCATTTTTTCTTATTCCAACTACGATATATTTATATTTAATTTTTTAAATAAATTTTATATAATTTCTATGTTTACATATTTTTATTTTCCAAATAATATAAACAAAAATTATATAGTTAGAATTAATTTTAATTTTATGTTACGAAATCTTCTTCTAATTTAACTATTATTTTTAATATCAAAATGAGTATTTATTTTATTATTTTATAATTTAATATATATCATACCAAATTATATGATAATTATATTTTTATAATACGACAGAACTAAAATTATCAAAATATACAAATAATTTAACTAAAATTAATATATATAAGTATTTAAGTAACAATTTTATAGAACGATAGCGCCAATTTTATCAAAATAAATAATTAAAATCATACTTTAATTTTAAATTTAAATTTAAATTATTCTTTTATAACACACATTGTACCATCAAATATTTTTTTTTAAAAAAAATAATATGTGCATTGCACGTAAGGGTGTGCATGGTGCGGTTCTGGCTGTTTGAGAGTAAAATTACAAGCCGAATGGCGGGTTAGTTGATTAACGGATTGACAAAATGCGGTTTAGACAATTTTTGGCGGATTGAAGAATATCCTAACTAATTATCATACATTTGCATAATATATAACATTAATTTGTATAATATTTTTTAGATATATAACATAAAGTAATTTTATATAATATGTTTCATATATATAACTATTAATTTATAATAAATTTCATATCTTAAATATCTCGCATACTCATTTTTACATTGATATTTCATTGGAGGTTAAAAAATATATATGTATTAACTATAGCGGAGCGGAGCGGTTTAATTGGCGGATTATAAATTTTAAAGTTTAAACCGCGGTTAGCAGTTAGAACAGTGCGGATTGG